CAAGAGCCTGTCCTGGTTATCCAATCACCTTGAGTCTACTCACTGTTTTTGTTGTTGTTGTTGTTGTTGTTGTTATTGTGGAAATTTATGAGGATATACAAGTCCAGAGAGAATAGTGCTATGAATTCCCACATGCCTGCACCCAGTTTCAACTATCAATGCATTCCCAATCCTGCCTCATCTATCTCCTTAAGGATTTTTTGCCCCTGGAAGATTTTAAAGCAAATCTCACACCTCATGTAACTTTAGCCATGGTACTTCAGTATATATCTCTGGCAGATAAAATATTTTATTTTTAACACAATCTCTACATCACTTTCACACCTAGGAAAAGTAACATGGATTTCTTGACATCATCTAATACCATCTGTGTTCAAATTTTCCTAATTGTCTCAAAATTATTGGTGTGTTTGAATCAGGACCCAGTGAAGATCCACACATTGCATTTTGCTAATACTTCTCTTAAGTCTCCTTAAATGTATAACAATTATTTCTCTTTCTTTTTTTAAAATGTTGTTTATTTGTTAAAGAAACCAGTTCATTTGATCTATAGAAATTTCCCACATTCTAGTTTTTGCTGATTAAATCCTCATGGGATGTACATGGGCCATCTGCCATGTTTCCTGTAAACTGAAAGTTAGAGCTAGAGGCTTGATTAGTCTCTGGTTTCATTTTATATTTTTTTACTTTTGCAAATATCCCATCATCATAGGTGGCACTGTGTCCTTACTGCATCATATCAGGATGGGCGTAATGTCTTCTTGCCTCATTTTGAAAGATGCTACCCACCTTTCACCTGCCCTCCTCCCTTTCACTCCCTGAGGACTTTGCTTGTTTTCCGCTGTATTCCTGCCCCCTTGTCAATGCCCACATACCACATCGCCTCCCCCAGCCAATCCACCAGACACACATTGTCATAGATGTCCTACATTTCATCCACTCAAGTGTGACATTAGTTTGTGGCTTCAGCAGTTAATATCATTACTAATCACAGAAAGGGAGATAATGTGCAAAGCCAAAGGGCCTTCTACCTCTCCTATCACCACTTCTCAGCCCAAATGTATGGTTTCTAACCTCCGAATCTCCACAGTGGAAACTACTTTGAAAGTCAAATCATTAGACTCTATCAGAACATGGACGTAACAACCCAAAAGTGATTGTCTGTCTGAGATTTGTTTGTGATGTTCAGTACTGGAGAACACACATCTTTAGAAAAGAGGCCACAGCTAGAAGGCTTATAAAAGTGTTGTCTTTATTGATGCCAAATCTGCTTTCTTAGAATTTTTACCCAGTTAGTCATAAACCTGAACTTAGAAGTTAACCCAGAGGAGTGACACTGATGGTGGCAATTTATGGTCAGGCATATTCAGGTGTTTATTGTTTTATTAAAATAATTTTTAATTGCGGTAAAAAAATCACATATTACAAAATTTGCCCTCTCGTTTTTTTCAGTTCAGTAATGTACAGTGTACAGTTCAGTAATGGTAACTATATTTACATTGTTGTGTAACAGATCTCTAGAACTTCTTCATCTTCCAAAATTGAAACTTTCTGTCAAGCAATTCCTCTTTTCCTCCTTCCCCGAGTTTCTGACAACCAATATTCTTTCGTTTTCCATGATTTGGACTACTCTAGACATATCACACAAGTAGAATCATGCAGTCCTTTGTGCCTGGCTTATTTCACTCAGCATAAATGTCATCCTCAAGGTTTATTCATGTTATAGTATGTGACAAGATTCCCTTTTTTTAAAGGCTGCATAATATCCCATTGAATGCATATAACACATTTTCTGTTTTTGTTCTTTTTCTTTTCCTTTTTTCTGAGACAGGGTCTTGCTTTGTCACCCAGACTGGAGTGCAGTGGTGCAATCATGGGCTGGCTAATTTTTGTATTTTTTGTAAAGATGTGGTCTCACTATATTGCCCATGCTGGTCTCAAACTCCTAGGCTCAAGCAATTTGCCCAGCTTGGCCTCCCAGAGGGCTGGGATTACAGGCGTAAGCCAACGCGCCCAGCCAAACACATTTTCTTTATCCATTCATCTGTCAATGGACGTTTAAGTTGCTTCCACCTCTAGGCTATTGTGAATAATGCTTCCATGAACGTGGGTGTGCAAATAATCTCTTCAAGATCTTGCTTTCAATTCTTTTGAATATATACCCTAAAGTGAGATTACAGGATCATATGGTAATTCTCTTTTTAGTTTTTAAAGGAAACTTCATACTGTTTTTCATTGGGACTGCACCATTTTATATTCCCACCAGCAGTGCACAGTGTTCTAATTTCTCCATAAAAAATTAGAGAATTCTGGGGTTTTTTTTCTGATAGTGGCCACCCTAATGAGTATGGGGTATGCTCAACTATCTCATTGTGGTTTTGATTTGCACTTCTCCAGTAATTAGTGATGTTGAGCATCCTTTCATATGCTTATTGGTCATTCATGTATCTTCTTTGCAGAAATGTCCTTTCAAGTCCTTTGCCTATTTTTTTTAACGGACCTTCCTTCCCTCCTTCCTTTCTTCCTTCCTTCCTCCCTCCCTCCCTTCCTCCCTTCTTCCCTTCTTCTTCGGTCTCTCCCTCTCTCCCACCCTCCTTCCTTCCTGCCTTTGTTATTGTTTTTTTGTTTTTGTTTTTTGTTGTTGTTGTTGTTGTTGTTTTGGTTTGTTGTTGCTGTTGTTCTTGAGATGGGGTCTTGCTCTGTTACTCAGGTTGGAGTACAGTGGTACAATCATGGCTCACTGCAACCTCAACCTCCTGGGCTCAAATGATCCTCCCACCTCAGCCTCCTGAGTAGTTAGGACTATGGGTACATGTCACCATGCCTGGCTAATTTTTTTGTTTTTTTTTTTTTTAGAGACAGCTATGCTGCCCAGGCTGATCTCAAACTCCTGGGCTTAAGCTGTTCTCCTGCCTTGGCCTCCCAAAGTGTTGGGCTAACAGGCATGAGACACCACACCTGGCTGGTTACTTGTTTTTCTTTTTTTTTTTTTTTCTATTGTTGAGTTGTAGGACTTTTTTATATTCTAGATATTAACCCCTTATGAGATATGTGATTTGCAATTGTTTTCTCCTATTACATAGATTGCATTTTCACTGTTGTTTCCTTTAATGTGGTGGAATTTTTAAGCTTGATATAGTCTCATTTGTCTATTTTTGCTTTTGTTTCCTACACTTTCGGTGTCATATTCAAGAAGTTACCATCAAATCCAATGTCATAAAACTTTCCCCCTGTTTTCTTCCAGGAGTTTTATAGTTTCAGGCCTTAGGTTTAGGTCTTTAATCTATTTTGTGTTAATTTTTGTATGTACTGTAAGGTAAGGGTCCAACTTCATTCTTTCACATGTGGATATCCCAGCTTTCCCAACACCATTCATTGAAGAGATTGTCCTTGCCCCATCATATGGTCTTGGTAACCTTTTTGAAGATCATTTGTCCATATGCATGAGGGTTTATTTCTGGGCTCTCTATTCTGTTTCAGTGGTCTATATGTCTGTCATTATGCTAGTGCCACATTGTTTTGATTATTGTAGCTTTATAATATGTTTTGAAATCGGGAAGTGTGAAGCTTCTAATTTTGTTCTTTTTCAAGATTGTTTTGGCAGTTTGGGGTCCCTTGAGATTCCATATGAATTTTAAATTTGTTTCTATTTATGCAAAAAAAAAAAAGCTATTGAAATTTTGATAGGTATTACATTGAATTTGCAGACAGCCTTGGGGGTATGGCCATTTTAACAACATTAAGTCTTCTGATCTATGAACACAGAGTGTGTTTTTGTTTGTGTCTTTAATTTCTTTCAGCAATGATTTGTAGTTTTCAGTGTATAGGTGTTGTTCTCAGCTTGCCTCCTTGGTTAAGTTTACTCCTAAGTATTTTACTCTTTTTGTTGCTATTGGAAATGGGATTGTTTTCTTAATTTTTTTCTTGGATTGTTCATTGTTAGTACAATAAAAGCACAACTGATTTTTATGCTAATTTTGTATCATGTAACTTTGCTGAATTCATGTAATAACTCTAACTGTGTTTTGGTGTACAATATTCAGGGCTTCCTACATATAAGATCATGTCATCTGTGAACAGATCATTTTACTTCTTCCTTTCTGATTTGTATCCCTTTTATTTCTTTTTCCTGCCTAATTGCTCTGGCAAGGACTTCCAGTACCAAGTTGAATACAAGTGGTAAGAGCAGGCAAGCTTGCCTTGTTCTTGGTCTTAGAAAGCTTTCAGTTGACTGGGTGCAGTGGCTCATGCCTATAATCCTAACACTTTGGGAGGCTGAGGTGGGGTGGATCATTTGAGGTCAGGAGTTTGAGACCAGCCTGACCAACATGGCGAAACCCCGCCTCTACTAAAAATACAAAAATCAGCCAGGTGTGGTGGCACGCACCTGTAATCCCAGCTACTTGGGAGGCTGAGGCAAGAGAATCACTTGAACCTGGGAGATGGATGTTGCAGTGAGCCAAGATCATTCCACTGCACTCCAGCCTGGGTGACAGAGTGAGACTATATCTCAAAAAAAGAAAAAAAAAAAAGAAAGCTTACAGTTTTTCACTGTTGACTATAATGTTAACTGTGGGCTTTATATAGATTTTTTTTTTTTTTTTTTTTTTTTGAGATTGAGTCTCGCTCTGTCGCCCAGGCTGGAGTGCAGTGATGTGATCTTGGCTCATTGCAACCTCCATCTCCCGGGTTCAAGTGATTCTCCTGCCTCAGCCTCACAAGCAGCTGGGACTACAGGTGCGCACCACCATGCCTGGCTAATTTTTGTATTTTTAGTAGAGACGGGGTTTCACCATATTAATCAGGCTAGTCTTGAACTCCTGATCTCGTGATCCACCTGCCTCAGCCTCCCAAAGTGCTGGGATTACAGGCATGAGCCACCATGCCTGGCCCACTTCTAGTTTTACTTTTTAAAATATAGGGCTTTGAGACTGGTTTTAAAATATTAAATTTGGTTGAAACTAGTCACGCATTAGAAATGATAGCCCAGGATGACCAACTGTCAACAGAAAAATCTGCATATGTATTTTCTAGATGTGGGCTTATGGAGACATATGGGGCCATACCTGTCTTGTGAGCTATGTTCTCTCATGCTTAGGTTTCAAGCGGAGTGACTGACAAAGCATATCCAGCTCGTGTAACTAACAATAAGCCATTTGCTGGGTGGTCCTTTAAAGCCAGCCTTGATGTTTCACACATGTGATCCCGATGGACCAGTGAATGGAGAAGACTCTTTTTGGGTCTGTTGAGGAAGAAGAACTTGGAGAGACTAATCACCATTTTCCTTCTAGGTTCTTAGTGGCTTTAGAAACTGAAGATCTCTAAGTTTCTCTCTAGACTTCGACGAGAGGCAGTAGAAGAAAAAGCAGCCAGGAAAGAACAAAATAGTGCTCTGATATGTCTCAGAACCAACTAGATGAATATCAAAACAGACATTGGCAAGCAAGGATACAGAACTGTGATTTGCAGCTACAAGAAATTAAGAAATACCACCCTGAGTAGGACCAAGTTGAATTTGGAAGCTATGGCTTGTTTTTGTTTTTAAGTGATAAGCTGACGAGATAAAAGGAAGGAGAGAAGGCTCATTCCTTCAATTACCAACTACTTCCTGAACATGAATAAGCATGAATAGGGCATGTAAGTAGGCACTATAGAATACTGAGGAGAAAAGACACACCCATACATCACTATGATGTGACGTAGAGATAAATACCATAAGGGGGTGAGGAAAGAGAGCTATGGGCAATGCACACTGTTAATGATTTAGGAATTCCTTCTCCCTGAGCGAGCAATCAGATCATCCTCCTTAGCTCATCAACAGCTAATACTACAGTCCCTAATGCCCTTTCTTACCATCCCACTTCCTTCTTACCAACCCTAGTTCTAGTTTTGCTCTACCAGCCTTAGGGTAATCATGACCTGGTGCAGGGAGAAGAAGCATCAGGCAGACAAACAGACCGTGCCAGACAGATCATTCATGAAGCCTTAAACACAGCTGCAGAATTAAAACAGAAATGTCAAGGGAACAGAGTGTTCCAGCTGACTTAACTTCCTGTTGATATGTCTCTGGGGAGGAGGGGTGAGGTCTGGAGTTCTAGTATTGGGGTAGAGGGAGGGCAGGGGGTCTGGTGCCGGTGGGAGCGGGACTTATGTCTTTTCAGGCATGGGTACTCAGGAGTTGAGTTCCCATCTGCAAGGCTGTTGGCACTCACTTCCTGAGGCTGACCATGGTCAGAGGAGTCTCTCAGCTACTGATGTGCCCAACCTACAGAAAAACAGGATGTTAGGTTTCAGATCTGATTGAGCCATGAGATGCAAATTCCTTTTCCACCCCACCCCCACCCCTCTCCCCAACGGCTGCCACCCACACCATTCCCCTTTCTGCAGCAAAGCATTCATCTCCCTGTGTGACTTCCATCAGGGGCTGTCTGCGTCCTTTGCTTCATTGCCAGCCTGGCTGTGAGGGGTCAGATTAGTGCTTAACCCATTTCATTATGGTTTCAGATTTATGGTCATTTTGATTAGGAGTTCCTTACCACATCCCTGGGTGACTGATGAGAACTCTCCTCAAATTAGAAAAGGAGAACGATAAAGTCACTTTGCTCTCTGCAAGTCACCTATCTGGTAGGATCTTCGAATCCCCAGGCCTCACTTTGGCCCCTTTGCCTACAGGTTATCTATAGGTAATTTGTTGTCAAATCTTTCTTTCCCTTGGTTACTCTCCTCCCAGCTCTTTCTCTTTGTTGCCACCTAAAAGCCCTTCCATGTGCAATGAAGGAAACAGAAGCAGAAAATACAAATCAGAAGCCATTCTACTCAAGTTCAATCATCTTCAAAATGCAGATTTCACCCATTTTCACCGAGGCAAACACCAAGCGCAAAACTCTCCCAGAACAACATGCTGAGTGCAGCAGGATCTCCATAAGGAGACTGAAATGGATTCCAAACTTTGTGTCCACTCAAAGGGCTGATGTGCACCCTGTTGGAGCGGGCCCTGCAAACCTGAGGACTGAAGCTGGCTCTGGCAATAGCTCACGTTCTCTTCTACCCCCTCCGCAGGCTTCTGGGGCTCTTTGCTCACAGGATCCTTCGGCACAAAGCTCTGCCATCAGCCCCTGCACTGAGCACACCTAAGCCAACACCTTCTTCCTCTTGCCCCCAAGGCCTTCCTTGGCACTCCATCCTTGTCCCTCCGGCCTTCCTCAGTATCCAGCAACATCCAGTCTTACACTGCTTCAACACATTTAGTATTTAGCTTGTACTGTGATTCAAAGGCTCAAGGATCTATTATTGCCTTTTCAGATAAATGACACTCACAAGGTATGAACTCTATGCTTGCCTCATGGGTCCTAGAGTGGTATTAGGTACACCAAGATGAGAAAAGTCTTTAAAAGTCTCAAAGATTATCACACAGCAGGAAGCAGACAGTGTAATTATAACATACTCCCAAACTGTAAAAACATGCAAGAGATTTCAGCACCAGGAGCTGTGACTTTATACAAGGACATGATAGTACGTAAACTAGTTGATATGTGGTAATTAGGAAAAAAGGTCAGGCCTTTAACTGTGCTATGGTATATTGTATATTACAACTCCCTATGTTATTACTGCATTTTTAAGTGGGCATGTGAGAATGGATTACAAAATGAATTATCTACCTTTTTGCATGGGGCTAGTGTGCACTCATTCATCCAACATGTATTGATTCACCAGATTTGAAGGTGACACTGATCATAGAACTTTGACCAAGATAGGGTGGAATGTGCCTTTATTAAGCTTACAGTTTCATGAGAAAATGAAGAAAGTAGATGGGGTCGGGCGCAGTGGCTCACACCTGTAATCCCAGCAATTTGGGAGGGAGGCTGAGGTGGATGGACCACTTGAGGTCAGGAGTTCAAGACCAGCCTGGCCAACGTGGTGAAACGCCGTCTCTACTACAAATACAAAATTAGCCAGGCATGGAGGTGGGCACATGCAATCCCAGCTACTGGGGAGACTGAGGCAAGAGAATCACTTGAACCTGGGTGGCGGAGGTTGCAGTGAGCCGAGATCGTGCCGTTGTACTCCAGCCTGGGTAACAGAGCAAGACTCCATCTCAAAAAAAAACAACAACAAAAAAAGAAAGTAAATGGGCAATTATATAATAATTCTTTCAATGGCAGTAATAGCACAGGTGTTGAGTGGCGCATAGGAAACGTCTCTCTCCCAGGCGGTAGGAGACTGGAGAAACGGGTGGCGGTCAGGATCATCTTCCTAGAGAAACCCTAAACCAAGAACTCTTTCAAAAATGAATAAGAGTTCACTTTGTGCAAATCAGGAAATGTATTCCAGGCAGAGGGAAGAGCCCATTCAGGGACCTGAAAGCAGCTCAGAATGCCTGGAGTCTGGAATACTGGCTGTTCTCTGTTGAGAACAGGCCAGGCAGATAAGTGCAGCCATGTCAGGAAAGGGTGTGAGTGAGACATCTAAGAAGTCAGCCTTTATCCTGAGTGCTCCTGGGAGCCAGTTATACGTTCTAGAAAGATTACCGCCTGTGGAGTGGAAAATAGATGGGGTGGGGGGGAGTACAAGTCAAGGTTGGAGGCAAGGAGAACAACTAGAAGATGCAGAGATGAACTAGCACACTGTTTTCATAATCCTGATGTAAGACGGCAGTGACAGTGAGGGAGGGAGCGGCGATGATGTCAGGGTATTTCAGAGCTAGAACTGCAGCACCTGATTGCTAAAGATGAACGAAAAATCAAGAGTGACTCCCAGGTTTCTGTCATGAGCAAATGGATGGATACTGAGGCCACTACAAGAAGGAAAGAGAAACTATCAGGTGGGGACCCAGGTTTTCAATATGTTTTTGCAAATGAGTACTTTGCCAAAGTCAAAAACAAGAACACGTTGTGCAGAAAACTTTTGACATACTTCTCTGCCTGTTATCCATGTAAAAAGACAAAGGAGGATGAGTCATAGGTGGGATTTGGATACTCTTATTTCTTATAGTCTGTTTCACTTTATTTGTATAGAATTATTGGAGATAATTGTTTTAAGGCCAAGTGGGTAACCTCGAGCTTGGACAAGTTCTTGCCCACTTCAAGATACTCATTTGTATTAGCAAATGCCCTTAGAGGCAAAACTGCAAAGTCGCTTAACCTTACTAACAATATCCTAAAGAAATTACATCCAAAAAACCTTAATTTTAACTAAACATCACCTCATTTTCTAGAAGAAATTAGTTCTTTGTTAAGAATGAGAAAAAGGATTATCAATACCCATTGCTGTTTAAAATTTAGATAGGAATTAAAACACTTCAAATTCTGATAATGGTTACTCTTATTTTTTTCAATTTAAAATTGTTTTTCCTCCACGAGTGATGTTAGGTTTCTCACTCGCTTTTTCTGTGTTGCATTCTCCCATCTTTCTATCTCTTTCTCTGTGTGTGTGTGTGTGTGTGTGTGTGTGTGTGTGTGTGCGCGCGCGCGCATGTGTTTCTCTCTCTACCCTTCCCTGCCAGTCTCTTTCTCCCCATCTCTGCTCCACATTTTTCTGAGGGTCAACTTCTTTCTTTGTACTGATATATGTGTCTGATTTTGTCTTCTTAAAGTTTATATCTATCTGACTCAGTTGAATACCTTCAGCTATAACAAAAGATTATAACTCGGCCAGGCACAGTGGCTCACGCCTGTAATCCCAGCACTTTGGGAGGCCGAGGCAGGAGGATCACTTGAGGTAAGGAGTTCGAGACCAGCCCGGCTAACATAGTGAAACCCCATCTCTACTAAAAATACAAAAATTAGCTAGGCATGGTGGCGGGCACCGGTAATCCCAGCTACTCAGCAGGCTGAGGCAGGATAATCACTTGAACCCGGGAGGCGGAGGTTGCAGTGAGCCGAGATCACACCACTGCCCTCCAACCTGGGTGACAGAGCGAGACTCCGTCTCCGGGGGTGGGGGAGGGAAGATTATAACTCAAATGGCTTAAGGCATAAAGAAATGTATTGCTCTGCTGGGCGCCGTGGTTCATGTCTGTAATCCCACCAATTTGGGAGGACGAGGCAGGCGGATAACAAGGTCAGGAGTTTGAGATCCGCCTGGCCAACATGGTGAAACCCTGTCTCTACTAAAAAATACACTAAAAATAGCTGGGCGTGATGACTTGCACCTGTAATCCCAGCCACTCAGGAGGCTGAGGCCAGAGAATTGCTTGAACCCAGGAGGTGGAGATTGTAGTGAGCCAAGATCAAGACATTGCACTCCAGCCTGGGCAACAGAGCAAGACTCCGTCTCAGGAAAAAGAAAGAGAGGAGAGGAGAGGAGAAGAGGCGAGGAGGGGAGGGGAAGGGAGGGGAGGGGAGGGAAGGGGACAGGAGGGGAAAGGAAGGGAGAGGAGGGGACAGGAGGGGAGAGGAGAGGACAGGAGGGGAGAGGAGGGGAGAGGAGGGGAGGGGAGGGGAGGGGAAAGGAAGGGAGAGGACGGGACAGGAGGGGAGAGGAGGGGACAGGAGGGGAGGGGAGGGGAGAGGAGGGGAGGGGAGAGGAGGGGAGGGGAGAGGAGGGGAGGGGAGAGGAGGAAGGAAGCACTTGTTTCTCATAACAAGAAGTCCAGAGGGGGAAGTCATCCCAGGGTTGCTTGATTCAGCACCTCAACAAAGTTACTGGGTTTTTAATTCAATGAATGTTCACCGAGCACCTATTTGTGCCTGGCCTTGATTTGGGCACACAGGATACACAGTGAAAGAAAAGAAACAAAAATATCTGTGTTCATGGAGTTTACATTCTAGCTTTTCGCAGCTTTGCCTCATGGTAGCAAAATGGCTGTTGCAGTTCCAGGCATCCTTATAAGGTAGGATAACACCCAATATTTACAGGGCATCTCTTCCTGTGTGTTTCTTTATCAGAAAGGGTAATGCTTTCCCCCTTTTGTCTCATTAGCCAACATTCCTCACTTATCCCTCCCTAATACAGTTTCTGGCAAGGGGAATGATATTTCTAAAACTGGCTTAGACTATTCAGGAATAACCCACTAACACCAGGCCCCGCTCCCTATTGTTCTAGCATGGGGCCCAGGCCCAGATTTTTTTTTTTAAACAGGGTCTCACTCTGTTGCCCAGACTGGAGTACAGTGGCATGATCGTATCTCACTGCAGCCTCGAATTCCCGGCTCAAGTGATCCTCCCACCTCATCCTCCTGAGTAGCTAGGACAGATTTTTTTTTTTTTTTTTTTAAGAGATGGGGTCTCACTACACTACCCAGACTAGTCTCTACCTCAAGCGATCTTCCTGCCTCAGCCTCCCAAAGTGTTGGAATTACAGGCATTAGCCACTGAATCCAGTCAAGAAAGATTTTTTCCAAAGCTCCCTGGGTCATTCTAATTTACAGCCTGAGTTGAAACTGTTGTGCAGGTGCCCTACATGATATACTTTTTAGGTTTAAGAAGGTTCGAGCTTCCTTGGTAGATTTACCAAATGTCATTCCTAAAACCTGGGAAAATGTGCTAGAAGGAGAAGGCTGTAATCTTTTGGGATCTCTAAGTCATCCCCTTGGGTTTTCCATCAACACTGTTTTTTAGCCTCAGTTATTAGACCAGAGTCTTCTCCTAGGCCCATCCATCGTTGGCCTTTCTCTCAGCTGGAGACCACCCACCCCTTTCCTCAGAGCACCTGAGCTGAGTGCAGTCTCCATCCTCACAGCCACCCTTTCTTCAGTCCAGTCTGGGACTCTTTTGTTTTCTTCTTTTTTAAAAATTAAATCTCTCCCCCCAAATTATGAAAATACATGTGTTTACTGTAACCACTCAAACAGCACAAAGTTATTTTTACCAAGAAATAGTTGAATAATCTTCCTCTTCCTGTATCCATTCTCTATTATTCCAGAAGATGAGGCTCTCTCTGGGCCTGTCTTTCTCCACGGCCAGTGTCCTCAGGCCCCGGCTTGTCAGTGGATCTCTGTGGTGGGGGTAAGGAGGAGGGGGTGACAGAAGGCTGGCACAGGAGTCAGTCCAGAATCAAAGCAGTGTGAGGGCTCAATTCCTCCCCCCAACTACCTTTTTTCTTAATTTTTAAAACTGAAGCAATTTTATTTATTTATTTTATTTTTATTTTATTTTTATTTTTTGAGACAGGGTCTGACTCTGTCACCCAGGCTGGAGTGCAGTGGCATGATCACAGTTCACTGCAGCCTTGACCTCCCAGGCTCAAGCAATCCTCCCACCTCAGCCTCCCAAGTTGCTGGGACTACAATCTGTAGAATACCACTATGCCCAGCTATTTTTTTTTATTTTTTATAGAGACAGGGTCTTGCCATGTTGCTCAGGCTGGTCTCAAATTCCTGAGCTCAAGCAATCCTCCCACCCTGGCCTCCCAAAGTGCTGAGATTACCAGCATGAGCCACTGTGCCCAGCCTGAAATAATTTTAAACTTTGAGAAAAGTTGTAAAGTTAACACAAAGAACTCCCATATAGCCTCCCACCCAGAATTCCTTTCAGTTTTGCCAATTATCCTAATAATTCCTTTAATATGCTTGGCTCAAACCACTCATTTAACCCAGTTATCATGTCTCTGTAGTCTCCTTTAACCAGAACCCCTCCTCAGCCTTCCCTTGACTTTCCTGACATTGACACTTATGAAAATTACAGACCAGTCATTTTGAGGAATGTCTTCCTATTTGGTTTGTCCAATGTTTCCTCATGATTAGATTCAAGTTATGCCCTTTTGGCCAGAATATTACAGAAGTGATGGTGCATTCTTATTGCATCCCATCATGTGACGTCAATTTGTTTCATTACTGGTGATGTTGACTTTGGTCACTTGATTAATATTATGTCTATTAAAGTTTCTTCTCTGTAAGGTTGCTTTTCTCCTTATTGTAATTAATCAGTGACTTGAGGGAGCTGGTTTAAATTATGTAAAACCTCATTCCTTACCCCACTTTTACCCAATAGATTTAGCACACAACTTTATTTCTTTCCTAAAATTAAGTATGATGGTTGTTAGATGGAAATTTTTTTTACACATGTTAGTTGGCATTTTGTTTGTTTTTCTTTTTCTTTCTTTCTTTTTTTTTTTTTTTTTGAGATGGAGTCTTGGTCTGTCTCCCAGGCTGAAGTGAGTGGGGTGATCTTGGCTCACTGAAACCTCCACCTCCCAGGTTCAAGCTACTCTACTGCCTCAGAGTCCCGAGTAGCTGGGATTACAGACGCACACCACTACACCTGGCTAACTTTTGTATTTTTAGTAGAGACGGGGTTTCACCATGTTGGTCAGGCTGTTCTCAAACTCCTGTGTGTGTGTGTGTGTGTTTCATTATATTTTGTTTTGCCAATTTATCAGAATTTAGGAATGAATGGTATTATGTAAAATGTTATATATATTATATGTTTATATTATTTTATATATTTATATTGTATATATTTATATATTCTATTAATATAACTGTATTATATAGATGATATTTTACTTAATACCATATTAGGTAATTTTTACCTATATATGCATTTACCTATACCATACTAGGTAGTAGTTGTAGTCAAAAAAGAATATTTGCTTCTTGCTCTTCATTTTTAAAATAAATGTGTCCACTATAAACAGCTGATTGATTGGAGCTCTTTGCAATTCTGCTTGAAAGCTAATTAAGTTACTACTTATTGTGGCCTTTCATGATCTTTTCTCCCACTGGGTCTTTATTCCCATGGGAGACCCATCTCTGAAAGACTCTGTCTTTGACTTAAAGGGGAAAATCCTAATTTGCTTCACTTGCTCATTCATTCATGCACATATTCACCAAATTATTTTTATTTTACTTTTTTTTTTTTTTAGAGACAAGGTCTTGTTCTGTTGCCAAGGCTACAGTGCTCACTTTAGCCTTGAACTCCTGGGCTCAAACCATCCTCCACCTCCCAAAGCACTGGGATTACAGGTGTGAGCTACCACCTGGCCTCATTCACTAAATATGTATTGAGGGCCTTCTATATGCCTGGAGGAACCTCTGGCTCCTCCCCACACGTCCTTCCCCTGGCTGAGCTGTATCTCTGGTGTTCTTGTTCTTGTTCTTGTTTTTTTGAGATGGAGTCTCACTCTGTTGCCCAGGCTGGAGTGCAGCGGCGCAATCTCAGCTCACTGCAACCTCTGCCTTCCGGGTTCAATCGATTCTCTTGCCTCAGCCTCCCAAGTAGCTGGGATTACAGGCGCATGCCACTACATCCAGCTAATTTTTGTATTTTTAGTAGAGGCAGGGCTTCACCATGTTGGCCAGGCTGGTCTCAAACTCCTGACCTCGTGATCTGCCTGCCTCAACCTCCCTAAGTGCTGGGATTACAGGCGTGAGCTACCGCGCCTGGCTTTTTTTTTTTTTTTTTTTTTTTTTTTTTTTTGAGTCAGAGTCTTGGCTCTGTCACCCAGGCTGGAGTGCAGTGGCAAGAATTTGGCTCACTGCAACCTTCACCTCCCCGGTTCAAGCAATTCTCCTGCCTCAGCCTCCTGAGTGACAGGGATTACAGGCACACGCCACCATGCCCAGCTAATTTTTGTATTTTTTTAGTAGAGATGGGGTTTCACCATGTTGGCCAGGCTGGTCTCTTTAACTCCTGACCTCATGATCCACCTGCCTCACCTCCCAAAGTTCTGGGATTACAGGCGTGAGCTGCCGCGCCCAGCCTGGTGTTCTTATTGTTAGTTACCTGATGACCTCTACTTATTGTGTGGCTGGTTCTGACTATCAGGGTATATGAAGGGTAAGGGCCCAGGGTGGAGTGAAGGAAGTGGTTCCATGTTAGCTAGCCAGACCCCCAGAAAGAGAGGGGAACCAACTCCTCTGAAAGTCACTTTCCCTTCCCCTTGGGCTGTTGTTTCCTCCCAGCCCCCAGAGCAGCCAGTTACAATCCCAGATAACCCAGCAAACCTGGGTGTTTATCAGCAGAGTTACTGCTATTCTGGCTCCTGGAGATCTTCTGTAGGGACAGAAGAAGATGAGAGGAATACACATACCACACCTACTCGTGGCTGCCGAAACACAGCTCGGGCTACCTCTTGGTCCTTCCCTCCCCTTTTTCCAGCCCCTCCCTCAGGAGGAGTCCCAGTCTGGGGCCCAGATAGCTCTGGAGCAGCATTCAGCTCTGCACTGGGGACCCAGGAGCATGGTGGAGGCCAAGCTTGTTTGCTTTGTGGTCATTTGTTCTCAGCCAAGGGAGGCCTGAGCAGGGCGTGGGGAGCAGCTGCAAGTCACCTTGGGTGACTGTGATGTTATCTGGGCCTAACGGTTTCCTCTGGGTAAGCACTTCCGCCCTCCTGTTTGTGAAGCCAGAAACCTGTGCTGGGGCAGCCCCATTCTGAGCACAAAGGAGGACTAGGTAGAAGGAGAAAGGAAAAGGCCCTGTGGAGCAGAGTTAGAAGACCTGGTAGTAGACTATGCAGTCATCACTATGTCCTGAACCTTTAAAAAGAAGAACGGAAAATATCACAAGCAAAAGCGTGCATTGCAGGTTACCAGTAAATACCCTTCCTTACTGCCGACTCTGCTCCAGAGTCCTCACCTGAGCAGCCATGTGGCTGGACTGGGAGGGGCTCACCATTAATTCCTGAGAGTGACGGCTCTTTTCACTAGGTCCCTGAGTGCCTGGCTCTAAATAAAAAAATATCAGGGCCGGGCGCGGTGGCTCACGCCTGTAATCCCAGCACTTTGGGAGGCCGAGGAGGGCGGATCACGAGGTCAGCAGATCGAGACCATCCTGGCTAACACGGTGAAATCCCGTCTCTACTAAAAAATACAAAAAACTAGCCGGGCGAGGTGGGGGGCGCCTGTAGTCCCAGCTACTCAGGAGGCTGAGGCAGGAGAATGGCGTAAACCCGGGAGGCGGAGCTTGCAGTGAGCAGAGATCCAGCCACTGAACTCCAGCCTGGGCGACAGAGCGAGACTCCGTCTCAAAAAAAAAAAAAAAGAAAGAAAGAAAGAAAATACAGCCAGAAAGTAGCAGAGCTGGAATTAAGCCCTCAGTCTGTTTCTAAAACCAGGGGTCTTCCTCTATACTTAGCTAAGCTAAAGAACTAGAAGCCACTCTGACATTAGGGCTGCCAGTGTTTTAGAAAGTTGGGCCTTAGAAAGTTCTAGGACATGAAGGACGCCATATTTCTAAGACTGGTACCCAAAGCAACAATCTAAGTGCCTGAAAGTGCACAGATGGTGCCTGGATAAGCAGAATCAGGGCAGTCTTTGTAGCAGGAGCGGACTCTCAGCTTGTTTTCTCTACTCTTTCTCCACATGTCTCTTCACAGCGCTCACCATAACCTGTCCCATTGGCCGCCTCTGACGGGGCTCCCCTCCCCGGTTGAGTTGGGGTCGGGCCAGTGAGAATGCTGTGGGATAACCCAGAGGCGTCATATATCCAGCCAATACCCTGACACTCGCAGGTCTCTGAAGGCATTTTCCTGTTTCTCTCTGCCAAAAGGTCCGAAGGGAGCAGGGATCCGGATAGCAGGGAGCGGATCTGCCCTGGTGCAGATTCCAGTCCCCGCATCCCTCCCACGCGGTCTCTTTGCTGCCCAGCCGGGATGGCCCCAAAGGAAGGTTGCTATGCTGGGCCCCGTGGGAATCAGATGTTGAGCATCCTGCCCTTTACTATATTTAACAGGAATGGAGACGAGGCCCTTTAGCAAGCAGCTTGTGGGAGCCAAAATTCCCAAAAAACCGAATGCATCAGTCAAAGCAAGATTTGAAGAACAGATTTATCACTTCAGGGAGCTTGGAAAACTTTGCGTGGATTCCTCATTTTCCTCCTCCTCCTCCTTCTCCTCGTACACAGATGATAGATGGATAGATAGTGTTTTCCTGGAAGGTGGAGAGGAAAAGACGTGCGAAGGAAAAGACGTGCGAAGGGAAAAGACGGCGCCAAGCTGAGCTCTGAAGCCTCCGTCTGAAGGGCTCCTCTTTTGGGGGAACACAAACGCCTTCCACT